AAATATTATTAATGTAACGTACTTTTTATTTCCAATATTTTATTTTGCATAGTGGTCACGCTGTACAATCAAAATATTTGATCGTACAACGTACAAATTTTTTGATTAATGAACTTAGATTATAAATTAGCAATTTGAATATAACGTTTTAATCAAGTTATGTTCCGTTAAGTTATGGTTTTGATATGAGCAACATGTTATCCTGGCAGATTTACTTAGCAACTTAAACGTATACCGATTTCATGTTGTAATTACCGTTTTGGAAAGCAGAATTCTGCTTGAGCGCTTATATCAGCGATGCCCACCCTTCGATGTAACTTGTTAACGACAAAAGGCAAAGTTCAATTACGACCGATTTGAAGTTTAATTTACAATGACCAGGAGGTTAAATAGAGCCATATTTGATAATACGGTGAGAATCAGTACATTAATAATTTTTACCTATGTTTAAATGCTCATTGAATGAATTAAGTTTTATTTTTATACATAATATCGAATTAACTTAATTACGATATTTAACGAAATTTTTGTAAAATTCTTGACAGACAACTCAATTTGTCATTTGTTTCATTATTAAAGGAGAAAAGAATAAGAATATAAAGTTATATATAGCATATATCTGTTTAAGTATATGTATGCAGAAATAGAAAAAAGAAATCTTGCATATGAACTCCTTTTCGAGCGGAAAATTGATTTTGAATATAGGTCGCGGTAATGTTTGACCTTTTCTGGAAACTGACACGAGAAGTCAATAGCTTTTCATAAAAGGCGGATTACGCTTTCGTGCGAATTGCTTTATGAAGGCCTTAAGGCACTCAAGAGCCGTCTTGCAAGAGAGCTTTCAACAACGAAAAACGGAGGATGATGTATTTAGCAACTCGTTCGCGAGTATACCGGAGATGACGGCCTATACATGTATGTGTATAAGATTTACATGACCATGTTTTTAAAAGACTGTATTACGTCTTTTTTTTTATCTTAAGAATGTATCAAGGAATACAATAAATTAGATGCTTTTTAATACAAATCCATAAGAAGATAATCTTTATTTAAAAAATGAATATAAACATGCAAATGCAGAATGAAAAATTTATGACATTATTTTATCTGTGTTAAAAATATTGTAGTTTATCTATAGTTGAACATAGTTATTTAATTTTTATAACTTTGACCGAAAACAAACTTTACTTGTTGCCACAAGTCAAGGAAAAGTCAGAGAATTAAAAAATGTGTCAGGGGAATCAGGGAAAGTCAGGGATTTAGCAAACTTTTCTGGAAAAACAAAATAACTGTAAAGAAATTTAAAACATCTGTTTAGCACGGTGTCTGTTTCATTTATATCACGTCACTGTCGACAAAATCGACTGTGATAAAATTGAGAAAGAATTTAACGTTTTTTGTCATAAGAATGAAATAATTAATTTATGCAAGCAATTTGTTAGAGAAAATCAAAGAATTGATAATTTCTGGAGAAACTTGCTTCAGGATCAGAATAATTTCCAGAATTTGTATGTTTTTGTGAAAAAAGTCCTTATTCTGAGTCATGATCAAGTATTTGTGAAAAGAGAATTTTCAATAACAAGGAATGTTGAAAATAATTGCCTAGGTCTCTAATATTTTAGACACAAGTTTACGATGGCCTTAAGGTTGCTGGTAGTCTCACTAAAAAAACTTATAAATAGATAAAAAGATAATTTTTATCTATTGTAATAGTGACACTATATATACTCGTGTAGAAATTTAAGTAGGATTATACCGGTCAATTTTCCCTAATTACTGTTAGATTGTTAAAGTACGTATTACTAATTAGCATCAATTTTAGAATAAAATCGTGAGAAAAAAAAAGATTTTCTCTAAATACGAGAATTAATTTTTTTATGATGTTTCTAAGGGTATGTTAAGTTAGCACCCCAACTATAGTACTCAGGAGTTCTGATTAGAGTTCCCACTTCCTTTTGACGAGACGAAGAGTTCCCTATAATTGAAGCTATTAAGCCGCTTAGAACTATTCCACCTCGAAATTCGATAAAAAGTTAGCACCCCATTTTTAAAAAATGTAAAAAAAATGTTTATTGAGCGGTACTCTTGTTATTAACTATAGGGAACTCTTCGTCTCGTCAAAAGGAAGTGGGAACTCTAATCAGAACTCCTGAGTACTATATAGTTGGGGTGCTAACTTAACATACCCTGCTTCTAAACTAAATGGTCACTCATCTCAAGTTGATTTTATCTTATCGAAATGCGGGGGATATGTATATGGTAAAGCATTGGAAAAGCAGCGCTCTAAGAAAGAACAAGAAAATGCAAAAATTGCTAAAATAATCTTTGTTTACAAAAATTTCAGTTTTATATAAGAAAGTTCTATGTCATCCATGAACAAGTGAGTAAAATAAATGATATTTTATATTTTTGTGATGTTTTTCCAAATATGTTAACTTTTATAAGCAGATTGAGATTTTAATAAACAGGACGTAGTTTTGATAAAAGAGAAACTGTATCCTTTGATTTATGTTCCTTATATTTTAAGTATAGTAGTAAAAAGAAAGAGATGAAGAGGAAACGAATCATGTTCATACATAAAAGGAAAAGACAAAAAATACTATTAACTTAACAATAAAATGCAGTGTCAGCAACATTAATAGTAATTTAATTACACTGTTACATTAAATTGCTTCATCAACAAAATATTTAACAATTTTCATATCAGGATGAAAATACAAAAATATTTCAAAATATGTATTACTGAAGGTCAGGGAAAGGAAGATCATAAAATTTTATCTAGAAATCAGGGAAATATCAGGGAATTTTAGGATGAAAAAATCCAATCTTGGTTGAATAAATCCAAGAGAAATGATAAATGCCTTATTGAGTCAGAGCACTGGTTGTTCGTGTGAGTTAAAATGATGCTTTATTGTATCTTGATAATTCATTATATGAAGTTCGAGACTTGAAAAGGATCCGAATTTGGATCAAAACGTTATTATTATCAAGATACAATAAAGCATCATTTTAACTCACACAGTTCTAACTCGATAAGGCATTTATAATATATTTTTATTATAAATAACATTACAATTATTCATTAAATTATTATTGATTATAACATTTTATCAAATGTGTTCGTTATTATAATATATATTACAAGGACATATAGAATATTTAAAATATCAATATAATATTAATAGAAAAGTTATTATTAATAATTTGATAATAACGAAATAATTTTACAAAATGAAAAATTAATTTATGATATGCTAAATTTTGTTGATTTAACTTTATAGAACTGTAAAATTAAAAAAAATATTAATTACATTAGTTATTGCTCCAATAACAATTAAATATCGCCATATGGCTTAGTAATCGATATGGAAGACTATACGAAATGAAGAAAATCCAGGTTCAAATCCTGGTTGAAGTGTTATTTTTGGCAACAAGTTCTCTGTAGTGTCTTAAGACGCTTATTAGCAATATTATTAAATTAACAATCTGTGTAATTAGCGATATTATTTCTAGTTTTAGTTTATAATTGTGTTTCAAGTTTGACAAACCGAATTGGCGCGCACTTTATAGAAATGAAAACTGTATTTATATAAACATTATCAAGCATCAAGATCCGCTTCGATCAAAAATAGAATGCTTTCTCTTATTTGATTTATTTTTATCGATCTAATTTTTCTTATTAAAAATACACTTACATTTTATGAGCAAGTCGCTATTCTTTAAATATTGTCGTAATTACATAGACGTCTGAAAATAATCGTCCATTTATATTGACCGATTACTTAATAAAAAATAGTGTAGCTATTTGAACATTGAAACAAAAATAATACAGAAAGAAAATTGGAAATACCTACACAGTGTTTCGAGTAAATAAACAAAGCGTATCATTACTATGCAAGTATAAACAAAATACAAACGAGATTTTATCACTGTTGAAATACAATTTGTGTATATAATAGATATGATGATGCATCATCATTCTAACCACAAGGATAGATGCTTGTGCGAAATGCTATACGCACGCCATTCTCCATTGTGGGTTTTCACGAATTCCATGAATGCATGCGTGGTTATCATTCGATGGATAACCGAGACCGCTATCGAGTTTAACCCTTATAAGTACAGGACTGATCATATGACCTACTCATACACGCACATATAAAATGCCTATGTCACACAGATTACCTTCTTTATATGATACTGTATATTCAGTATACGATATCAATATCTAGAAATTCGATCTATCAATAACCGTGTACGTGTGTGTGATGTATTTTACTCTATGTGTATACTGTGTGTTGCTGTGTATGTATGTATGTGTGTGTGTGTGTGTGTGTGTGTGTGTGTGTGTGTGTGTGTGTGTGTATGATTTAAAAATAAACATCTCCAGATATTTTAAATACAAACAATATTTCGTTATTGTTGCTTCTAACCTGGTAATTGAAATTGATATTAAATGTTTTTGTTTTACAATATTAGCATTTGTCGCGCGCGATATTGATTATTTTTATATCAAATCTATAAAAAAAATAAATTGATAAAGATAGCGGCTGTCAGCTGTTCTTTTTAACAGTGTAATTATCGATGCTTTTATGAAATATAATTATACTTTATTGGAAATAATGTTATTGTTTGTTTCATATTTTAAGGAAAGTAAGTTCAATGAATTTAAAATATAAAACGTTTTAAATTTAGCAACAAAAATTTATATATTTTTGTTAATACTACGCAAATATCGTATCATATTAAAATTATTTATTTATATATTAGAATTATCTCTAAAACTTTATTTTTACTTTTTCTGATTTTACAAGATTTCAATATTTTCAACGAACTACGACCTTATTAATTACATTGACATTTCCCTCTTTTCTAGATTTTCTTATATTAATGTAAAAAGCTTTGTAAAATTTACATGTAGATATAAAATGTGCAGATGCAAAATTAGTATATGCATGCGTAAGAAAAATGGAGAGTCACAGCGCACGCGACATTTAAAAATGGCGTTAGGTCAGCAGAAGGACGTAACCTTGGTCTATAAAGTGATGTCAAAGAAACCTCAAGATATTAATCCTCCTAATACCGGAAATTCATTTTTTACAATATTTTTAAACTTCAACATTCGTTTTGAAGTTTCTTAATATGTATATCCAATTACACAATTTTTATAATTATTTTATACTTATATTTCTAATATTTTATTTTTATGTTGATTTGCAATAATATTTTATAAAAAAAAAGAGTAAATTAAAATTTACTAATAACTATTTAAAGAACGAAGGAACTCTTTTATTTAATTATGCATGGCTTTACGACAAATTGGAAACGTAGAAAATTTTTTCAAATAAAATCCATTAGGTACTCTTTTCAAGTACATTTTGCAGGTGTTAAATATTAGGTATCTGATGATAGTTTGCCTTTATTGGAGTAAGCTTTTTATCCGATTTACTAGTTATCTGACAATGTGCATAATCCGTACTCAACAACTACTGCGAGTATAATTATATTATTGTTGACGTCTCGCCCGCATTGTTGCAGAGGACCATTCAGCGTCGTTCGGAAATGCATTCACCGCCACACCGGGCAGATTTTTGCCGTAAAAATCGTCGATGTGGCAAAATTCACCTCCAGTCCTGGACTCAGTACTGCGGGTGAGTATATGTACTGTATAAAGATGACATGGGTGTACACACACAAAGAAGATAAAGAAATATCCGGAGATATCTCTTATCGATTTCGAGTTCCCGACGTTTGAGCAACTTAATAAAAAAATGTTGATTTTTTTGCATTATACATAATGTACATTCAAACATCGAGTAGTCAATTGAAGTTGATATATATATGTATATGTGTGTGTGTGTGTGTGTATATTTAATAGAGTATCTTGTAACATTAAGAGAGCATTTTGAGATACATGTCCAATCTGTAATCAATAAAGTACTTTAATTTGGCGTAGTAGCAATGCTTTTATATATTTTGACAGGGGAACAAGTAAATCGATTTAAATTTTACTAACTACTTCTTCATTACACAAAGGATACAAAATATATATTTCTTATGTTTCAAACTGTTTTACATTCAAGTTTATCCAAATAAAGGGGACTCTTTCTATACCGGTTTATAAATACTCTTCCATTAATTTTCACCATGTTTTCGAAACAAGGCTTATACTACTCTATCCGTCCGCAACTACTGACAACGGACGCTTTTCCCAATGCTGCCGACTGACTAAACATAGGTTTGAGTTGTGAACCGACGCGAAAGGCATTGTACAATTGAATGGAAAGGCGAACTATTGTCGCCGCGCATATTTTTCGGGGGTTTAACTGAACATACCAGTCGACAGATCTAGATGAAATATACGAGAAGAACGCATTGTTTTAAAACCAGTTTTTTCTAATAAAGCCCTTTTTCCGGAAATGAGAGCAATATTTAATTTTTACTGATAGCACGAAATTGAAAAATTAATTGTAAATGTACTATATGAGTTTACTAACAGACGGGTCATAGCTGAGCAGAGAAAATGATTTTGGAACATTTTTTATATAATTTCTAAATTCTCTGTATCATTACTGCAATAAATCAGAAAAAAAGAGACTAACAGTACCTTCTATAAGTGCATCATATGTATTAATAACGAAACAGATGTTCATTTGAGTTACCATATGGAATCTCTTTGGGATTATATGGACCTCACGTGAAAATATTCGGAAACATATGCGAACAGAGTGTATATAATATCTCATTCCTATTCGTGAAACATAACTTTATGTATGAAGCAAGACATTCATTTCGCTAGGTGTCGTAAAATATTACCAAGTTTTCTTGTTCACTCTTCGTTGTCATTTTTTCCCCTCTTTTTTTGTGATTTCTTTCTTTCTCATTTCTGTTATACGTATTACTTGATAAAAGTTAACATTAAATATTTGAATTACTTTACGTTTTTTGCTAAAATATAGATACATATTTACTAATAACAATAATGTGTTAAAATTTTTTAATTAAAAATTAAGTCGTGGTACCGAACTAATTTGCAAATAGAAAGTACAATTTTATTATTTAGCTTTAGGTAAAGTTAACATTTTAACGAGATTTTAATTCAGTACCTAGTAGTTGCAAAGATATTTAATTACGAAGTTGTAAAATAGCTGCATGTATAATTTAATAAGTTTTGCAAGAGTTAATATTGTTGTCTTTATTAATCGAAGAATTTATGAATGACAGATTCATTGATAAGTTTTGCTGTTCTTTATACTTATGTATATTAAAATTTTATAATAATTTACTAATTATTTTAAAATTAATTAACACTTACTTTTGTAAAAATGTAATTTATTAAAAAATTTATGTTGTTTTACAAGCTCGCACTTTATGTAAATATTTTAATGTTGTTAAATAAGTTTTTGTTTAAAATTATTGTAATTAATTCTTTATATTTTTTATAGTACAATTTTTTTTAACACGATTAAAAAATATAAGCTATTTCGTTATTGCATTTCGATTTTCGTTTACTATTCGTAACTTTGACTGCACAGATTCCATTGCAGTTGAATGCAGATACGGCATCGAAATTGACTCTAATAAAAACTAGGAAACGAAGTTTTTTTTTTATTCAATCCAGATTCAGTATCTACAGTTTCGTTTAACTAGAGTAAGATTAAAATTATCTGTTCTGATTTTATAGGCATTTATGTACAAAGTATTTATTTTCTTTAGGTTTTTTTGTGTAATAGAAAATTTACATAATTTTATACATTTGTAACGTAATATACGTGTAATTTGTATAATAATATTAATTTCTTATATAAGTTGACAATATTGAACTGTTATGCATTTTACAAATAAATTATAGTTTTTATTAGAAAATTTTTCGACGTTATTTTTTGCTGTAAATCTTTAAATCTTACAATTTTTAACATTTTTATGCTAAAGGATTGTATTAAAAATCTAATAAAGCAAAATTTATTTAAAATAATTTAAACCATGTTCAGTTAATGATTATAATCTCCATCATGTATCTGTATAATGCGTGAAAACTATCTGCTGTGTTAAATCTACGTTTCGTATGTTTTAGATTTGAAACGAGAAGCTACAATATGCCATATGTTGAAACATCCACATATTGTGGAACTGTTAGAAACTTACAGCTCTGAGGGCATGTTATACATGGTATTCGAATAGTAAGTATGCAAAAATGAATATACGTATTTTATATTTTGAAAAATATGTTTCTTTATTTAGTTTATCAACATAGTTTGACAAAAACAATTGTGTGTGATAAAAATAAATTTATTCTATTTAATGTGCTACATTTATCTAATTATTTTATCTAATAATAAGTTTAGATACAGTAACCCCTCTCTCGTCTTACAAAATTAAACTGTTATAGTTATATTATTTCAATCATGAACTTTCAATGAGCCTTTTTTTAGAAAAATAACTTTTCGAAAGGCGTCAATCTCGTCCTTTATATGCCAACAAGTCTGCTCTCTCATTTTCCTAGCATAATTATTATACCTTCAGGCTAATGAAACGTTATGTTCGTAACATATGAAATGGAAAACCATTACGTTTGTCGAAAATGAAGGACTCGGTAAAATAAATACGTAACATTTCCTTAACGGCTCTATCTTTACTCGGGAAAAGCACGTTTTCCATTTAGTTGTTTGCTATCTATTATAACGTTCTACTATAGTTCGCTATAATTGGATACACACATCCGAGGTGCTCTCGAAATAATCTACGCTATCGGATAAGATAACTATGGTTTTTAATAGACTCGTTGCTCAAGGCGTTTTTAACGAGACTATTTAAATAATATGACAATCAATCACACTTCGTTATTTCCTTTAGTTTAATGAGATATTATTTTTGTCATAAAAAATTGTTATTCAATGACAACATTATCGATATAACACATACGATTAGATATACATATATCATTTTAATCGATAATTTTCTGTGAGTCAGTTAAGTGTTATGAATGTTACATCTGATCATAATCTATATGCATGCAGATAAATAAGTATCAATGAAATAATTAAAAAGTTATATTCATGAATAATTAAAACAAATAAAAATCATAGAATAAGAGAAATATTCAAATTAAAACAGATCCATTTACCGCATCACCGGATATTCCTACTTCAATATTCCATTTCTCTTTCAGTATGGACGGCTCTGATTTGTGCTTCGAAGTTGTAAGACGAGCAACTGCTGGATTTGTATACAGTGAAGCAGTTGCAAGGTAAGAAATTTATTATTTCTATCATCGCGCGCGCGATGAACACACTACGACCACTACACGAACGTCACGATTCCACAGCAGACAGTATATCCATTTAAATATTATCTGCTGAAGCTAAAACATCGTTTACTTTAGGTGTAGTACGATGCGTATTATATCGCGTGAATATACAATATTCTACATATATTATTCCGTTTTATAATTTCTAAGAGTTTTAGCCAATAAAGATTATAATAAATTAATTTTTTTATTACTCGAATTTTTTTAAAACAATTAAGACATGTAAAAAAAATGTGTCAGAAAGTTTTACAGAGCATTATTCTCGATAAAATACAATTTTCGCATAGTACCTAGATTTAATATGTACTCCTATATGATGAAAATTACTCTAATCTGTTTATTAATCTTGTTGAGGAAATGCCTTCAAGATGAAAGAAATTTGATAAATTAATTGTTTTCATTGAGTCACTTGGAACTTGGAGTACTGAAACGTGATTACCTTTTGTATGTTACACTCGATATAATGCAAACGGTTTCTCTCTCTTTCGAGTCTCCCTGGAGCGTAATAAATCCCTGTCTCGATAAATCCTTGACTGCGATCCATTAGATTCGCTATACTCGTTCATGTCATGCTTGGAGTAACAGTAGTCTTCACCTCGAGAGGATCCTATTAAAACTGTTCACAAATATGTCTTATATTTTTGACACTATGAAGAATTATTACACAATAAGTCATGTTTAATATAGTCTCAATGATAGAAATTATGAAATAATATCTGATTATAAAAAGAAGATATACGTACATATATTACAAACCGTTTTCACACATTTAAGTACTTAGCAAATACCTATGTATTTCCTGAGGATCAGATATGATAATCTCGATAATAGAAATTACACACGAAATAATACTGATCGTAAGAGGAATATATACAATATACACATTTCAAACCGTTTTCTCTCATGTTTAAATATACTTAGGAAATATCTATATATATATATTTTTTTTTTCTACTTAAACGTATAGGTATTTTATATCTATATAGTTCTCCAGGATCAGATATAAACTCTTTTCAAATCTTTACTTTCTTTTGTCTGAAAAACATGCTTTTTTGTTGTTCGAATTTCTTAGAATCAAAATAAACTTTATATTAATATTACATATCAAATATACAAACTTCATGTATTCACTGTATGTATCTCACATTATAATACGCTCAAAAGATCGATCTCAAAGAGATGCACTTTGATATGGTGAAAATACAACGAACGAGTATAGTAAATAACTGCATTGTTTTTGTCTGTGCGGTATTTCATATTTTGCATCATTTTCTGGCAGTACACTGTGCCATCAATATCTTGTTTTTATTTTAGACCGTATTTCTTTTTTGCATATTTTATAAAAAATACTAGTGATAATGTCAAGAGTCAGTTAGAAAGGGTTTTATACTATATACAACTGTGCATGAAAAATGTTACTCCAAAACGTATATTTGTCTATTAACTAAATTCAATATAATTTTGGTTCTTCCGTTCGATTAATAACTCATAAACATAATTAAATAACATTGTTAATATAGTTGATTACCAGTTTATAACAAGTAAATTCGAAATTCGTATTTTTATTTTTATATTACTTACTGTATATCCCGACTCTTCATTTATTGAATGAATTTATTAAAACTTCATGTTCTAAAATCATTACATGATAACGAGGTATACCTTAATCGTATTTAAATTCTCGGAAAGAACTGGTTCTCTCTGTGTCGTGCATAAATGCTTCTCCCCTGCGGCCTTGGCTATTGTTCTCGGTTGAGGGCGTACTTTCGTGATGTGTTCAGGGAGAGATATGGTGTTAACGCCGGCACCTAAGAAACTGCATTTTCTTTTGCAGTCACTACATGCGACAGATCCTTGAAGCATTGCGTTACTGCCATGAGAATGACATTATTCATCGTGACCTGAAGCCGCAGTGCGCCCTCCTGGCTGGCAAGGAAAATTCCGCCCCGGTGAAGCTGCGCGGTTTCGGCGTTGCTGTGCAACTCCCAACCTCGCAGTCTAATGGCGTTGGTATGTTCATACTTTTCTTCTAATTCACTTATGTTTTCTTTACGCGATTCATTTTACGTGGCGTAGAGATTCACGTCGAAAGTCGTGCGACCTCAGCTCTGGGATGCCCGACCTCTCTATTATTAATGATTCTCTATCAACTTCCAACAAAGTTCTATATACGTAACACATACGGCCATTATCATATAAAAATAACTCTATTAGTTTGAAAAATGGCTTTAAGCCAGTGTCTATTAAATAGACGTACTTCTTAAATTTAGTTACATCAAAAAAACTTGGAAAAAAAATTGTAAGTAAAGAATTTTAATGTTGAAAAAATTAATTTAGAAAATATTGAAGAGTCAGCGTTTAAGATATCGAATACGATTAAGAAATATTTATATAATTACAATACAGCTTTGATAAAATAATAGTTAAGCTTTTAGTTTTTATATGAATTAATTTTTTGTCGGATTTTCGTTTTTATTTTTCAACAAATGTCAATCGTCATATATCGAAATTTTAATTAAATTTAAAATGCTTGAAAATATTAATCGCATCTGAAAATCTCTTCATTTTTTTTTTTTATAAAAATCTATTTCTTTCTTATGTATTCTAGAGTAGAATTCTTTAGATGCTTGAAAAATATTTGCATGTCTTACATTATAATGAATTTTTTTATTAATGAAAATAACATGAAAGAGGTATTTAATATTATTACTGTCATAGTTGAAGGAAGTCAACTTTGTAAAATTAATTTTTGTTAAGTTTGCTTGTACGTTTTGAATAATAATAATTTACTTAAAATATTTCATCGACAAAAAATATCATTTCGAGAGATTTTTTGTTATTCCAATATATTGAAAATACATATCGATCAAGTCATGGTAATGAAAACATCACTTGAAACATCACTTGAACTGAAGTATAAAATCGTAGAGGCGTAAAAGAGAATTTACTTAGGGCTATGCAAATGCCCCAAACACTTTACGTTCCCCTCTATTCCGTGACATAGTTTACGAGAGCTGACGTCGTGCTGCTTTTAGCGCGACAGCATTAAAATTACTTAATTTTTCATAATATTTTTAAGTGGTGTCGGCGCTAGGCGAGAAGAAAAAATAGGACAACATCGACATTATTAAGAACGATGAAAGAGAGGATACATCTCGAAATATTCATAACTTTATTGTCTCGTGATTAAAGCTTTCACAGAAAGCAATACGATGACTTTTCTACAATCATTCATAACAAAACAAAATATTACTTATTAGCAAATTTATATATCACAAGTATATATTTAAATACTACCTAAATTATGATATTTTATAAGTAAAAAAAGACATGAATTTAAAGACAAAATTTTCAAACTTTTTCCTGACCTGGCGCCAACACTACTTATATTTAGCAAAATATGCGCTGACATAAATTTTACGCGTAATATAATTATACGCTTATTCCATCTGCAAACTGGCTGAGAGGCACTATTCAATGCTCGTACTATATCATCGAGGGTCATATATCTAGATATCCATGTCTATTTTGTTGGAATACACGAAGCAAAATATGTCACTAGATTATATGTTAATTTTACGTTAATTATGTGAACTCTTTGAATGTTGATTAAATTAAGCTCATGCGAATGTACATGCAATAAATTTTGTGTCGCGACAAATTTCGACACGTTCTTTAAAAGTACATTAAGGATTTTTTATGATTAAATAGTTTAATGAATCATATACGTATTTGATAATTTATTAACTTATTATATTAGGAAGATAACGTTTTTAATTACAATAATATATTTTTATTTAACACCTTTATAAAATTTTATTTTTTTTGTTATGTTGAAAAAGCTCTTGTGTGTAAAATTAAATATACATAAATACTATAATGTAATTTTGGAATAATACCTTTAATTTAAATTAAATGATTGCATTATGCATATATTCCGACGAAATTATTATTTATAAGCATTATATCGTTTATATGCGTTTAACCTATTTTCGCGTAGCAATCTCTCTTGTATTAATTTTTTTTTAAGGCTAAAGGACTATAAAAGATCAAGGCTGTCTCACTACGGGAACACTGTTAGTCCAAAAATCCAATATTATTACGCCAAAGTGTTCAAAAAATTCATTGGTATAGCATATCATCGGTTTTATTTTGTTATGAGAAACGTGGTAGATTTTGTAAAGTCATTTACGCTTTAATTATCTATATTTATCATATTGAAAGGGTTCACATGTGTCTGAGAAGTTAATTTTAAATTACCAACCTATTGGCATTCAATCGGATTCATTACGACTAGTTCAAACGTGTATCATTTAGTTGTGCTGCCTCTTTTTCGCTTATAATATTACAAAAAAAGAGAAAACTAATAAAATATTCAGTGGCACAAAGGGCAACTGAGTATATCTCCAGAGATATGGTATTATTGCTGGGGATGTATGTCAATGCATCTTTGGATCAAAGTTGATTAAATTTTTGTGGAATAAATTATTATCTCCTGGGAGGAAAGGAGAAAATTCTTTTTACATGTTACAATGTACGATATCATTTCCGATAAAGATATGACAGTAATAATCCTCACATTGCAATGCAGTAGTAATATTAACGAACGAGGGCAAAAAGTCTATCTAAAAAGTGCATTAAATATTGCCTCCTCAGAGTTTGTAATTCAAATTTTTATCTTTTTTCTATTCTTTTTTCCTTTTTTCGTACCGATACAATATGTTCCCGGCTCTCATCAAGCGTCACTTCAAAGACACTCGGTGTTTTTGTATCGTCTCTCTTTTGAATGCCCTACTCTGCGATTATTGGCTGGCTTGGTCGATGATTGGCAAATCACATCAAAAAATTTCTCGGTGTTCATTGTGCACAATGCAACAGCTTTTATCGGATTTCTTTCCTACTGAAAACCGTGATGCTCTCTTCTCTGATCAGCCGCAATCGATTGATGTCTATGCATTTTTTTAATAATCTTTCGCTGCTTCGATATCGCATGGTTCCATTTGTAGATGCTCTTGTTGTTAGCGACACTTGTAGATATTCTAGACTGTACTGCTCTACGTCTTGGATTAATTTTAGACTTCCTTTGCGTGATCAGCGCAATTATTGTTGTCGTGCGTCTTCAAGTGATTTATTTCATTAGTAGCCATGCGATATTAAAGAAGCGTTTTCAATTATGAAGGAAATTAGGAAATCATCTTTCGCCATCCTATATAATTACGTTATGTTAATACTGACAATCAATATTGGAATCGCATTATCGATTTTATAATGACACCGGCATTGCGTTATATCGTATCGCCGTTAAGAGCTGTTGATAGAACACACGTTATCGTCGATTTTTTACTTTCGTTCTACTTATGTTATTTTACTTAATATTTAATTAAAGTTAATATTTAATCGAAGATGGAGGGTTTAATAATAGCATGCAATATCAAAAAGGACATAGAACAACACAATGAATGAATAAATAACGATAAAATAACAGTATTGCCATTCTCGTTTGTATTGAAGGAACATAACACCGAAATATTGCTATAAGAACAATATGATGATAACATTTGCCACTAACATAATAAGACACGTAACACTGTATACACTTTTATATGACGAGGCGCAGGGTAGAGTGGTTCCCGCCGATCGATAATAGAGTTCAATAGCGATAAGAACTTTTGTCGGCTATAGGGTTAATTGCCTCCTCGTTCCGCTAAGACGCTACGATATTATATCAAGTCAGATATTAATCTCTCTTCCAACTCCCACGGCTGTCGTCTCTGATCTTCCCAGTTCGAAACTAATTTGGCATTCTGCGAGAGTAAACCGACGGCGGCGTTCCAAATACATAGGCCGGAGATTGACTGGAAAACCGTCGTGTAAACTGGGACGCGCAACTTTTTATATACGAGTTTCGCAAAACAAGACAGCACTCGCCGCTGGGATTACGAGAGTCGCCTTAGACAAAAAGTTTCCGACAGCGTGATTAAATACGCATAACGTTACCGCGCGACACGTCTCCCTTAACGCTCCATCATGCTTATTTCTCGCGTAGCTATGTTTCATTCTCAATTCTTTGCGATTTGAATTCGCGCGTGACATCGTGCATGTAGATGCAAAAAAAAAGCGCAAACCATGACCGATGAGAGTTATCCGCGGATTGCATTATGCAGCGACAGCGCGAGAAAAGCACGTCGTCTGATTACACTCTTGATAACGTGAAATTTGGTTTGAATGAATACAGCATGTTACACGACCGAGTATCGGCAGTGTCTGAGCCCAAAGGGGCAGCTCTACTTGAAGGCCGACAGCGAGGGTAAGCCTGATCTAACCTTTAATCATTACTTCCGCAGGAGCCTTGTCTCATCACGCCACATAAATATATATATATATATATTACACGTACACACTTATCACATCGATACATATTGTATTATGCTACATTTTCATCCATTTCGTGTACTCCTCTATCACTATCACGTCACTGTACTCTAGAAGCTGCCACCGCTTGCTTGCTTGCTTTACGAGTTCGAATATTCACTTTGACTTGGCTAACTCATTAATATATATGACTTGGCTAATATTTAACATATTAACATATTAAATAATATATCGTTTAATATTTTAATATGTATATGCACACTTATTTTTTTCTCGGATGTGTGTGGTTTACAAATTTGTTGAAGAATGTCATTCTCGGATTATACACTTCTTATTGGGCTTCGCTGTATTGTCTTCAGCAATACGTATGTCTGAAGCGGAATTAAGAACACGAATGAGAATGAGATTTTAAATTATTGTGATCATTTTTGTGTTTTATTTTGAAACAAAAATTAAGAATGACAATTGTGTATCTATAAGTGTGATATATATATTTTTATACGTTTTTCTACGCTAGGATGATCATCACAAAATCGTTGGAAGTATATATAGGCGATTAATCCGAGAGCTATCTTACATTTTGCGTAAGATTATAAAACGAACGAATTAAAGCAAGCTATTTGATAGTCTTTTATACAGATTTTGTACTAACAGGATCATCGTAGATTTCCCGTACAATACAAATAAACTTATACAAACGTCGCGGAGATATGCCAAGCTCGACATTTTACATACCAATAGACACACACACCACCAGAGAATTGTGTTGATTGAATTGTGTTGATCGGCCTGAGGTCAATATATCTGTCGCCTTTGATTCGCGCGAGAGAGTTCGATTCCTTAAATATAAACAACGGCAACCAAGAGCCACAGCCAGGTCGGTCTTCCTCCAGCTTTATTGATGATAAAGAGCATCTTACCACATTCGTGAAACCGTCAAGTAAATCGCGCACAGCGCGAAATTATCATGACGATAACAATGTCCTTCTCCTTTCTCTCTATGTTCTTTCGATAGGCCTGATCTCTTCGAGCTGCTATTTCCCTTTTGAGGACCTGACCGACGTCGAGGATTCGCTAGTGAGCGACACGGAGGACAATTTCGGTATCCACATGCCTGCCACATCTACATAACGTCTGATGATTTACCACAATCGGGGGTAGAAATGAGAAAGTATTGCGTCTGTCTAGACTCTAGAGTATCTCTCTAAAAGGGGATACTCCTTTCCGCGTCCTTGAATATAGCTCCCGGCTTCTTGTACAACGTCACTGTGTCGTAAAATATTATTGAGAACTGTTTCCATCAACGACAAGGCCAGGTATATACAGGATGTTCTCTGTTCTACTACTATTCGCATCAACTATATATATTTCAAAAGATATTGTAGATATAAAAGAAAACGGCATTGTCCCAGTACGAGAGCATTTTGATAAAAATCAACGATGTTACTCGTTTGAACTTATTTCTTCCGAATGATCAGTTCTTATCCAACTTAGATTATTGTTGATACATCGAATGAATTGTTCTCTGCGGATCATCCTGTATATAACGGGAAAGAAAAGATTCATGTGGTAAGTCCACGAGTCTGGCGAGACGACAGTAGTATAACTCAGTTGGAAATAGCTCCGAGTTCATTTTCACACATGAATGTGTAGCATTTCGTAATTGTCGCTATCGATCAGTCCAGTCTCGTGATTACCCTCGTTTAAGGCAATATAGTGGACGTTCTACCCCCCCGTGTGGTATCGTTATATTAGTTTGAGAACGTGTAGTGTCTGTATAGACACTACACTCAATCTACGTGCGATAGCAGTATTCCTGTGATATCATTGTGCAGGTCGCGTAGTAACAAATATTTGTTGTGCCATCGAGGGGAAGTGAGTGAGAAAACGACTCCTTCCCCTTTTTTCTGTTCCCCACCCCCCCGTCGTTCGCGTGTCTGATTTTGTAATGCGCGAATGACATAAGCTCTGCTTCATCGTTGTAGGATTGGGACAAGTCTTTGACAAAATTGAAGGGTTTGTTACAACTCGTTATTAAATTATTTCATTTTGTTGAAATCTAATAGCGGCCAAAACACTAATAATTTACTTAATTTAAATACCAAGAATATAGTTATTCAATACGTTTGGTATTTAAAATAAGTAATTAATTACTGTCTTTTAGTAATAAATTGACCCCAGTATTAAAATAGTCAGTATTAGATTTCTTAAGAATATAAACATTGCTTTTTAAAATAAACTAAACATTAGTCTTTTATATTTCTGGTCTATGTTTACTAGAAATTAAAGTTTCCGGGTCAATCCAATCCGCAGCAGGAAATTCTTTTGAATAAACGTAGCATTTTTTTTTTTAAAGGAATGTGGAAAATATAGAAATCAAATACAGATACTTCTGCAATAACCTGAATTCGGACAGTGGCCGAATTTATTCTGTGGCTTTCGAGTTCACCCGTAACACGTATCAGTTTCTGATTGAATTGCTCAAATCGACTGCTGTCTCCATGTCGCAGTCATGAATATATATTTTGGATGATGGTTAATTATTATTTACTGTAAATGGCATGTACTTCAATTATTATCAATAAGCGCGTGTCCAACTCGGAGGGTACCAAATTATAGGAAAAAGAATGTTTTGTTATAAAAGATAATTAATAATGAATATAAAAATTGATTGACGTTATTTTACAACGTTAAAATAAATTACATTAAAATAAATTACATAATTCTATATGAATTATTCAGCGCTAAAATTTATATAATATGTTACATTTATTATTATTGTAATCGGTAAATGCAATTGCACGGTGAATTAATTTTATGTAGGTATATGGTGTAATGTAATGTACATATATTTTTGACAATGTTGAACAGTTATCCTCTTTCCGAGTGGAAATTTTTATTATCATATTTTTGACAGAAATCTCATTTCTATTCTCTCTCTCACACTTGTAACAATTAAATACATTTCAGTTAAATGTAACAAACTCTTCAATCGGTCCACCTATTTCTGACTCTGATTACATGAACTAATTACCCGCGTTATTTGGGCCTGTTTATGTCGTTGTTCGTAGCGGTAGACTAGCCTGTGTGTCTGCGTGTGTCTGTCTATTTGTATGCCGCTTTGTGTTTGTCTTTCATCACTTATCGATGACAAATTGAAACTAGTCGTCGTTCAGAGAATAGGTACTATTTTGTTACGAATATCTGCGAAACGTATTTATACCATGAAAAAGGTAAACGCGATATGCGAATGTAACATTTTCCTTGATTGAATATATATATATCGGTTGTTAAACTGAAGCAGTTTCAGATGTACGAATTCCAATTAAAACAGGGATTTTTTTAGAATTTTTACTATAATGTATCTTTGTTTATTTTAAAATTAATTTCCTATCTCAATAAATCATATGGTCGTGATAACTACGTACAATCTGAAATTGATATTTTATGCAATTGTTTTTGCAACGTGGCGAGCAATTTGTTATTAAAATATCATATTTCTTAATAAAGAACTTAAGTTATGAATAGCAATTTTTTTCTTTTATGATGAAACTCGATAATTTGAAGTGTGTAATGTTACCTACGATATATATATCTACGAAACTCGATACTTCAACCATAAAGTTGCGGAAAAATATGATCTTTTTCTTTTAACTGAAAACGGACCTCAGAGATGTATCAGCATAAGTATATTAAATCAGGGACATTTTGTAGCGCACTTATCTTACGTATTGATTCTGAGTTTTTCTGTTAGGAAAGATATTTAATATAAATTAATATTCAGCTATTTCTAAATCTTATATATGATCTTATATACGAGTGGAACGGAAAACTTTAGGAATATATATGAAATTCTCTCAGGAGACATTTTGGAGTCAGATTTTAGAGAAGATTAATCTAGAATTGTTTTTACGACGACTCCATTATTGTACATTTTGCACGTATGCTCTTATATAACATGTTTTTCTGGAAATAAATATTCCTGCCGGAAATTGTGCCAGAAATTTCCCAGACCACTCGTGTATCATCCTGTATCTCTAAATTATACTTGCGTAAAATGCATGTTATTAACTTGTCGCTTCGTTCGTGTAATAATTACTTTCGTTAAAAAGCGAATGATTAAAATCATGCAATGACAAGCGGCAGCCAAGCGATGAACAAGCCGAAATAAAGTATTTTTATCGACAGTTACATTTTTATTAGCACGTTAGTTTTTAAAAATTCATCGCTCGCGCGTGTGTATCTCATTATTAAATTTACATTCTGAAATCAAATAAATCCTGCATGCTCTCGATGTGAAATTGCATGAAAATTTATTTCTCTGTACGTACAACTCTTTAGCACCTAGTTGTGGCATTGTTAAATATTACATACTTTTACGTTTTTATTTCTGAAGTATTTCTGAAATATTCTGGTCTAAACTTACTTTTACTCATCGCTTTCACTGTACATAACTATAATCAGTTTTCTTTTGCACCAGCACCTTTTCTTGTTTAAGTATTTTACTATAAATAAATAACTTCTATATTACAGAATTTAATATTAAATATGTATTAACAATTTAAATTATTTATTTAATTTAATGTGTATTATAGAAAAAGGAATGGATTAAAAATAGTTTTTTTATCGCACACAAAATTTAATTTTTACATCAATTATTCTATAATCTATACGATTACAGTGTTATATTATTCTTGAAAGAGTGTAATCATTCTTTTTATATTAATTGCTCTCAATTATATTATCATTATCATAAAATGATAAAAAATATAGACTTCTCATATTGCAATTTACTGAACACTTATAATATTTCACACACGTGTGAAAACGTAATAAAAGAATGTATTTTTATTAATGATATTTATGATAAGTATATTTATTTTATCCAACATAATAATAGAGGATTCGTTTATATAAACGAATATATTGGATCAATACATTTTTATGCAATATTAACACAATGTTTCTTTTTTATTATATAAACAAAACATTTAGATGAAATATAGTTAAAAATCCATTCTATAGATAGAATAGTACATCTATAAATAGAAGTACGTATCACAAACATAGGATACGCAGTTCCTAGTAGAATATACGTGTAATAAAATAAAAAAAATATTAAAATTTTGACATATTTAATACATATATCGATTGTATATTTAAATATTTTTTAAGAAAGAAATCTATGCTTTAAATGCGTTAATTTTATTAATATAATAATTTTGTGTCGTATGAAATTTTTCGTATATGTAAAATTACACGATATTCTAATGATAATTTTTCTAATGTTTAGCGATATACTTGCGAACGCAATTATGTCGTCTTTGCTTTACAGCCTTAATCATCTCATCTTTTCCCATGTACACTTTTCAATGTGCAGTGACCTACATTTCCTCTCGTGTCGCTTTCTGTGTCATTTACCGATTCTTAATAAATATAGATTGTTGAAAGTAAGCAAGTTAGCACGTTGGTTATCGTCCGTGAACGACGTTTGTGCCTATATCGAAGAATCGGCTACTTTGTGACAGGTGTATTTGTTTTCGAAGAATGCAGTAGCCTTTGTATTTGACGTTCGTTTTTTTTTTTTTGCCATTAATTATCCTTGATACGTCCAGTCGATCCGACGTTCCCGATAACGATAAATAAAAGCGGTTTGGATTCTCTCGCTACGGACAATCGATTTGATAGAGAGAGAGGAGAGAGAGAGAGAGAGAGAGAGAGAGGGAGAGACAGAGAGTATGTATGTAAGTATGTAACAGGATGGATGTGTGCGAGATAGAGTTACCGATTATTTATTGTATAAATCGAGGGAAAATCAAACGCAGATTTTTTATTCGGCTGATAAATTCGCGTCTTATACTTGTCGCAAACACGATTTCGTTTTACGTAACGATCGACTGTGAAGTTTCCGAGCAATCACTCATGCTTCCATTCTGCCGGTTATATATATATATGGTAAATCATTTCATCCCTTTCGCTCACGACGTTCTTGATCGCGCAGGTCGTGTCGGATGTCCGCACTTCATGGCGCCGGAAGTGATCCAACGGCGACAGTATGGGAAACCCGGTGACGTCTGGTCAGCCGGAGTGCTGCTACATGTCTTGCTGACTGGCACACTTCCGTTTGTCGGATCTCGAGACAGGCTGCGGGAAGCGATCTGTCGAGGGCGAGTGCAGGTAATCGCCCCACGTCTTATGATCTTACGTCGTTTCTAACACCGCTAATCCGGATGAAACAAAGCGGTCGGAGAATTTTAATAATGCTTGCTCGCGCAACCATTCGCAATCGGGTCGCGCAATTCTCCGTGCGCGACGAATAATTCCGATTTAATTGAATTTGCAGATGGAGACACCACTCTGGGATCCCATTAGTGAGCCGGCGAAAGACCTCATACAGAGAATGCTCACGACCGATGTGAATCATAGGATCACCATTCAAGAGGTTCTCAACCACAAGTGGCTCAGAGTAAGTGGAACGGTTCACGCGATTCCTGCTTCTATTTGGTATTCTTCTATATGCATACAGAGCACGCAGGGGAAATCCCGCAGTTTGATCCGGCGTATTATAATCGTTTGCGCGGGCGTTCGGTGACGATCAGCATTCTACGTCACGCCGCACAACTCCTGATAGGGATAATCGATGTAGCGGCTTCCGTTTCATCGCCGGTGATAGTACATCGGATTTTATTTTTTCATAATTATCCCATGCACACACACACGCACACACACATACATAAATATATAAATATATATATAATATGTACACATATATGGTGTGTGTGTATGTGGAATACACGTGGCCTCGTTCCTCCTTATTATCTCCAATGAATGTGCGTGCGCACGCGCGCGTCGTATGGTGTGGGTATACCTATGTGGTGCAACAGTTAGCCAGTGACCTAAGGTAGGAACACTCGCAGAGTCACCCCCATACTTCTTCGATGCAACACACGTGCAACTGGGCTATCGATCGCTATAGCGGGAGCGAAGCCTCCGACGGTTAATGAAAATAACTATAGTAAAGTATGGTACACCTCGCGCTCGGTGTATACTGCTTAGGGCTTTTTTATGTGACTGTACGTTCGTCGAACCCTCGTGGACTTCGTGGAAGCAAGTATAATCTCTCTCTCCTTTCGCTTCTCCATCATGACGGTGTAATACGCCCCGATTGCAGAAAGGGAAAATAATTGCATATCACTCCGCTGCTGCTTCAGCATTTTCTTTACGATGTTTATACGACGTTTACTGTTGCTACACGCAACGTTTATGAGCAAATTTTTCTTTATTTCAAAGCTAATTGATTTGCGCTTAATTAATTTGCATCGATTTAATAAGCTATATTGGTTTGTGAGATAATTTATTGATTGATTCGAGAAAATATTTTTCTAAATTATATTTTGCACTTGCAATTTCGGTATTTGTGATTCATTGTGTCCTTGTCAATAAAAGCATGGTCATTTCTTATTTTACAGCGATTGTTTTATAGCGAATGAACGGATCTTAACTTACAGGATCGTGATAAGGGTGCAGCCCGTATACATTTAGGTGACACTATAGAAGAGCTTAAGAAATTCAATGCGAGGCGAAAACTGAAGGACGCCGTAAAAGCAGCCGTCTGCTCGTCGAAATGGCATGCTCCGTATTCAGAAGCTAATGGCGACAATTTCTCTGACGTCGGCGATGACGAGATAACTACAGGTACATCAAACGCGAGCGATTTCGCAATTACATCTCTGATACGTACAAATGTTACAAAATGCAATACAGATATAAAAGTGCTTCTCTCTCGACAAATACAATATTTAATTCACAAGGAAGGACAAACATCAATTTTATTTAGACGAATTTTATCTGTTTTAATTATCTAATTATCAGAGACATACAATATTAAAAATTAAAAGAGAAATCGTTTCGACAGATTAAAATTCGAATTTCGCTAATGTGTCAAATTTTGTTTCTTCAAAATGTACTCTGCATGCGTATAATTGATCGTGATATTTTTATAACAATAAAAGTAATGAAACGTATCGAATATAGGTCAATATTTCATTTACATGCGATGAGCTTATTTCAACAATGAGAGATCGATGGTATCGTGTAATTTGGAAATTCTGTTATTTCCGCGAACATTACGTTAATAGTCACAGACCAAGCAATTGAGCGCAAATAAGCACGAATGAATAATTTGCCTTAATGAGTGGAAACGACATTATGAGTATAAATTATTTATTTATATGTTTGCGTTCGCTCGCTTGATCTACACCCAGCTTAATAGAGAGCATTACTCTTTTATCAACATTGTCTATCGCTATATATCTATATATAGATTACAATTACAATAAATCGTCAAATGCATCAATGATATTTCGTAAAATCAATATTTCATACGTTCTTACGTTATAGGTGCTGTAGCCGAAGTTGTGGATTGCTTGGATGATATTGTAATCCTTGAAGAAAGTGACAGACTAATGCGGTCGGAAGTTCTTAATGCTGTCGATGATCTTCGAATTCGAGTTATCTTAGAGGTATTTTTACAGCAGTTTGTAATTATATAAAAATAGATAAGAACATACTAACTTGGCTAAGAGAATGAAAGAGTAATATTAATGATTAAAAGATTGCAATGAACTATGAAATCTCAGTATTCAAACTTTTCGCTTGTTATACGGATAATGTCGATTTTATTGTAAATGTGCGAATTATCGCGTATTTATTGCGAAAATATCTTTCTCTCTCAATGGCTTTAGATATTCAACATAAATTGACTTTAATTATTACACAGTATCTGTTTATACGATAATCGCTTCATTTTATTTTTGTTCAATTTTTATTTCGTTGTGTGAATTTTCGTAATTACGGGTTTTAATCGGTAATAAGGTGATTCTGGATTTTGCGCAAGTTAGAAATAAAAAAATTTATCTGTCTTAAAATATCAAAATTTACCTTGAAAAATTTTCTTTAAATAATTTTGTCGTAAGAAGCAATAAATAAAAACTGAATTACACGATCTCTGAAAGTAAAGTTTTGTTCCTAATTCAGTGGAAATTCGGAAATAGTTTACTGTATAATATATAGATCTATTTTTTTTTAATATAATAATATTCGTTAATAATATATCACTTGGTAATATCGTCTTAACTATGAAAATAAAACTCACTAAATGTACTCGCGTTATAAAAATTACGATTTTCCTTATGCATTTAGCGAGTTTATCTGTTCTATTTTTTATAACTAAAAATGTAAAAGATGTAATTTGAGTAAAAAAAAATTCTAACATTTATATTTTATTTTACCATTGTATTAATTTTATTATTTATTTTATTAATTCGACATTTTTTAACAGAAAAAAGAATCGTCACTTTTATTTATTCAAATAGCTTTTTATTAACGTAGCTATTTCATAAACGATTTACAACAGAACTTCTTTATATCTGATATAATTTTTGTGTTATTTATATTCTTATCAACAGTGAAATTTTACTGCAATCAATTGCAAGTAGTAAAGACAGAAATTTCGTCACACGCAGGGTAAAACAGAATGAAATATTTCTTACCAAGAGCGGGTAACGGTCTCTTCCATGAAACGCTTGCGCGTATGTTTGAACTGTTATCTTTCAACTCGTCGGAATCGATAGCCACCTTGAAAGACAACCCCTTTTCGCGCGGTTGAGTCCCGTCGCTGCAGAGCTTGAGCTTTTCTACTGAGAGCGGAGCCACTCATCTTCGACTCCCTCGATGTTCCCCCCCCGACCGTGTAGGGATAATGTAACCCCCTGCAGGATATCCCGCGGGAACGGGCTGCCCACCCTCGTTTCTTTCGAGGAAAAGCACGCAAGCGCTACCTCCGAGCTAGCAAGATGGCTGCCGTGGAGTCCTGATAAACAACATGCCACGCACGATCGAAGGATCGCACTATCGCGCCAACACGCGTACCAATATAAACTTATTCTTTGGTGGTTCTTGAAGTGTCACGTGGCCGAAGGAGCCACGTGCTAGGACCATGTCACATGTGGTCCTAGCCCGGTGAGGCTTATGTGCACTGTTTATAATAGAGATGCATCTCTGTCAGTTAATGTTCATCGGCGACGCCGAGCTAGCCGGCGATCTGCTCGAAATCGCGGGTCTCTTGGTGAGTAAATTAATTCAATCGAGCTGAATATAAAGCTGGAAATATTATCAGGCAAATTTGAAATTTTATATACATAAGTAATGCTGATTTAAAAAGACGTTCGATGTGTGAACAGAATATGTCATAGATTGTTTACAAACTGTTTTCAATTTTCAGTAATATATGTGTTATCTATAATATTACTGTAATTTTCTTAATTTTCCTTTTAATAAACTCCATTTTCATTCTGTTATATTTATGTGATATTTGTTATTTAAATTTATTTTTTACCACGTTTTTGTAAGAATATTTTTTTGTAAATGAAGCGAGGAATTAAACAAATATCATAGAAAAGTTTGAATACTTGGATAGTTTTAATCTTTTTTCATTAGTTATTAAAATGTTATATTTTTTAGCATTTTAATAAAAATAAAATAAAATCTTTCAATCTGCATTTACTTTTAATTGATCACTGTTCAGAAAATATGTAACGGATCATTTTTTGTTAAATAAATACGAGATTACTTGTATAAACGATATGAAAAAAATAACAAAAGAGATTGAGAAATGTATAGTAATGTTGATATTTCTGATTTCTAGCTTTATGACAGAATCTCAGGTCGTGTACCAGCACCTTATCGAGCACCACAAACAGATGCGGTTCAACGTGCTCGTGACGTCGAAGAGATCCTTCGGGAAGCAGAGCATTCGGCGGTGCGAAATATCGATAAAGCCGATCTTCGAGAACTTCACGAATTATTGGTCCAGCCACACATGAGGGTAAGTACGTTGTATTGATTTAATATTGGAAAACTAACGCAAATAGAATAAACGACTTGTTTCCGCTTTCTCCTCACACACAAATAATTAATATTTTTAACTTAAATTGTTAAGTAACGCGGTATCTACTAATCTATTATTATAAAAAAATTTTTATATTAGTTTTATATACATTTGTGTTTACATTTACTACTTTATCAATATATGACGCACTATTAAAAAAATTGTCGAAACTTATAAAAAAGGGAAAATTGATACATTTTAAATCAATCTCTCTTTGTATAAATTCATTTATTGATAAATATAATTTTTACTTGAAATATTTTTTGCGTAATGTTGGAAATTACAACAGCTTGAGATTACATTGTTGCGTCAAACAGTTATTGCTAAATCGATCGTCGGTAGTTACGGACTGCGTCGCGTTTGTAATAACCCAAGCGTTAATCAGGCACGACTTGATTCGTATTACATTATGAATCAATAACGGTTTTTTAATTGCTCATGTGAATGAATTCAATTAATAAGAAAATAGGGAAAACATTGATGATTAATTATAGCTTGAATGATGTAAAGTAATTTCTTAAGAATGTACTTCTAGATATTGATTAAAAAGGAGCTACACTTTCTGTGTATTTTTTTTTATCAACAGTTATGTAATATTTTAATGACATATTTTAAATATTAATTAAAGTCGAAAATCCTGATACGTAAGTGTAGAAATCATAATTAGTTTTGATTTGTTTTAACATAGAAATTATTATGATACGATTTTATATTATTTTGACTTAATTAATCTTCTCTCTCTTTCTCTCTCCCTCAGAATTGTTATGGTATTATACAACAGTTACGTAATATTTTGTACATAAATCTCAAATGATTTGTAAATGTGATTAATTCTGATAAATATTTTACTGGATTACTGGACTTTATTAATTACTTAGTGATTATTACAGGCAAATGAATAATTTGCATTATGATAGAAAACTCGCAATTTTTTTTATTATACATATATACATGTATATGTATAATTTATTTGTTATTTGTTAAATACTATATAATATTATACATTAATATGTAATATTTATAATATCTATACGTATTTAAAATTATACATAAGTATATATTTTTTATAGAATTCCATTATATATATGTATATATATTTATGTTAAAAATAACTTTTAAATGACATATTATGCCACGAAATTTATGCTTATGCAATGTAATAATTTCGCACACGCATAAATACGTATATTTGTGTCACTTACATGCATTTATGTGACAGTAAGATATATTTAGTGGTTTCTATATATAAGAGAAACGAAAGAAATAACCTGTGAAATCCGCGAAAAGATCGATCGTTATCGGACGATTTGTGGCGACTTTCCGCAAAACTATTTCGACGTGGGTATCCCGATAATCGTCTAACCGTGCCATTGCATTGCTGTTTGTCCTTACAGAGGCGATCGTTGGTTTTGCTAGCATGTTTATCGCGGTGTTTGACATTACCGTAGAATATACTGTAAATGGGGCGCGGAAATGTAGGTCGATCGTTAAAATTCTCGGTTAAAAATCCCGTAGCTGTTACAAGCGGGAAGGCCAGAAAGGAAAGAATTATAGCAGGAGTAAGATAAATGTAGAGAAAAGAAGCGAAAAGGAGAGAAAGAGAGATCGAGAACGCGAGATTTAAACGGACCGTGGCGCATTTTGATAGGTATATCCTCGTTACTAGGCGCCTTATTAATCCCATCTTTATCCTTGAGGCGCGATGCTCATTATTTATTTGCAATCTCCACCTTCGTCCGCGTTTCTGTCTGGTCCTATTTTAGATCGGCGTCTTGGAGAACCCGGCTGTGCCCTTTTACGTGATATTTGGCATTGTGCTCCGGATACGACCAAAATCGATGTGGCGCCCTACTTCGATTAACGATAAAGTAGAACGAACAAAAATAAAAGAGTGTCTGGCGCATTTAATTACATATATTGAATAGTTTAGTGAAGCTACGGTTTTCATTTCTTCCGCAAGAAATGATAGCTATCTATAAACGTCCAAAGAATTGTTTTTTAGAGGAATTTTTATTTTTAGAATTTAATTTACTTTGTTTTATTAATTTTTTGAATCGAAGATAACGCACTGCGTTTATTAACCGTGTATCACGTTTTGAATTATAGGTACGTGTGTATTTGTTATTTAATATAGAGATGTTTTTATTATAACCGTTACATTAAATTTCGATAAACGTTATATACATTGATAAAATACAATTAAGTAAAAAGAAGTTATTTTTTATTATATATATAATTTCATAATTAAATGTACAATTGATACAAAATTAAAAGGACTTTTTAAATTTCTGTCGTGTAAACCAAGAAAAGAAAAACATATTTAATCGATTCCCACGAGAAAGTAGAACTTGTTGCTTCGTTGAGACAGAAAATAATGTTGTGGCAAGAGGATTGATCTATGCGAAGTTATTATATATATTAAAATGTATAATAGAAAACATGAAAGCTTTTGGATCCATCTATTATATAACCTAATCAACGACAAGTGTTTAAGGAAAAAATTAACGTATGCTTAATGTTTCGAGGAACCGTGAAGATTGATGCAATGCATTCATATTTTGTGTTCACATGTGTGTTTATTATTACAACGACATATATACAAAAAATTGTAATAAATCATATATCTAGTAAATAATGCTTAACGCATTTTTGTTAAGAAATCATGCAATGAATTCCTATTGATTATGCATGAAATGTTTCTCAAAATTTATTTAATCCTATAATTTAGAAAATTAATATAAAAGTCGAAAATCTAATTTTGGTTACAATATTTCTTGAATTATATTATACTTTTACGCATTTGAGGCTCTCACGAGTATTTTCTTTAATTATACCAAAAGGTTTGCGGGTTATCTCCGTGTCTTTCTTCGTTATTGATGCCAACGTTTCCTGAACCATGCCGTTCACTTCATCAGGACGAGGGGATGCGTTGATACTATATTCTGGTATATATTATAGTTTTAAATATTTTATATTTTTTTTTAAGTAGGTAATCGAAGTTGTTCAATACTATCGCACTTTTTAGCCCGCCAGTGATCTCTCTCTCTCTCTCTCTCTCTCTCTCTCATTGATTTTTATTACTTAAATAATATTAACTTTGCTTTTGATTTTGTAATTCAACTTAAGCAATTTGTATAATAGGTATATAATTTGTATAAAAATTTGCAATAATATTCTATTGTAGTTTTATGTATTGTATAATATGAAAAACATTCATAGAATGTAAAATCAAACTTTTGAAAAATTAGAATACGTACACAACCATAAAATATATATTAAAATACGATATGTTAAATATGTACATACGTGATTAAAATGTTCGTACGAATATAACACATTCTAATCACGTAAATAAAATTCCATCCTGAACTTTAACGCGAATTATCATCTGAAATGGATGTATAGATACTATATGCATACACAACAATAAATTAATATTATCAATTTTATTATTGACAGCAAAAGTTTTGGTTGTTATAAAAAGGATTATTTGATTCTTTCTTTAATAAAAATTCTCAATCAAGCAGAATTAATCATAGCTTTAAGCGATGGGAAAATACTTGCAATGAAGAGTAAAATATGTGATAAACCATTTTCAAAATTTGAAATGAATAAAAATAAAAAAAAAACAATAAAAATTTAAAAGAATTTGGCGTGAATATATGTACATATTTGTGAGATGAGAAAATATTATTTTGAATAGCACGCGGTCTTGACTTTGTCGTTACAACGTACCGCATGCCATAAAGTTTATTCTTTTTAGTTAAACTTCTTGCACAGTTTACTCTTTCCTCCTTTTTTCTCTACGTTAAAGAAAAAAGAGGAAAGATGAACCGCGCAAGAAATTTAGTTAAAAGAACAACCTAGGCTGCGTTTCATTTAACGATCATAACGCTCGTGAAATCATTTCATCCTTGTTCAAATGTTAAACAAACATAAACGAGCGTTGTGAGCATTAAGTGGGACAGCCCTAGATGTAAACAAAGGTCGCCGCTCTAGCAAGCACGAGTTGTTTACGTAAGGTCATTGCGTTATCAGTTATTGTTCGCAGTTATATTCCTATTATAGTGGAACGAATAGGTAGCAATGTGAGCTGCTATTTTTCAAAATTACCGACAGACAATTAGCAACAGTTGTCATATCGTGCGGTTAGTCAATTCATACGATTGATGATTTGAAAGTGTGTCAAACTACTTTAAACTTCTTATGGATTCTCTAAGTTTTTGTTTTGAAAACATGGAATAATATAAAAGGATACATTTTGTTTACAAAAGCGTTTGTATATTAGGGATTGTTAAAACTTTGAGATTCTTCCGTTGCATTAATTTAGAAAATTTTGCGCATATCGAACAAGTAGTACTATCGTAGTTCTTCGCAAACTATGCAACTTATTTTCTTCGCGTTGTTCTTTTTTTCTTCACAATATAATACAATATAATACAACAACATGCCGCGAGCGATTAACATTAAAGTTTAATATATCGTACAATTCTAATTAACCGTGTAAATTTAATTAATGGTATGAAGTTTCTGCTTGAGCATTTTTCGATCATTTACAGAACATCACAGTGCCTCTGTTTTGTACAGGTTTAGATAAAAAAAAAAAAACGAATAATATAAATTTTAGTTTATCTAAAATCGGATACACTGAAATACACGTTTCTGATAGGTTGAAATCTGTTCCTTGTTTTTTTATTCTTTTCATTGTGCGTAAACTCTAAATACAATAAAAAGCCTTAAATACAATAAAAAAGCACAGACAATAGAAAATAAGAGAAAATAAAAGATTTCAACTTTCAGAAATCACATCTTAGTATGCACGGTTTCTGATAGATTGAAATCTTTTATTCTTTGTTCCTATAACTGCCTATGCTTTTCATTGTGTTTAACTCTAAAGCGGGGAACACAGGTTCTTACATGACACATAAGAAATTGAACCAGTCAAAGTCCTTCAC